ACGTCACGCACACTTTAAGTTTCGATCCTACACTTAGTTTCACTTTCTTTCTGCACCTCATATGCTCTGCAAAAGCATGCAGTTTCCTGTCAGTACGTTTTGGCTCAGACTCTAGTCAGAGCTGGCCCTTTTAGACTACATTAAAAACAAGTAACAATATGCACTAAATAAGCACTAACAATATATTAATTTCGTGACAGCGTGAGGGAGGGAGAAAAAGGAAAGTGAAAAGTACAGGTGCTACCGAGCAGAAACGGGAGATGGAAGCATGTAAATATAAAAAATAACCACTGCAGCCAAAAAGAGTGCCTGACGAGCCCAGTAAGCTATTAAGACTCGACTTTACACTGTGTTCGTGTTTTCCTGCGAAACAAAAAGTTCTGCTGCAGCAGCCTTTCAAAGCCTCTTTCTGTCTCTCGCTTGCAACGTAGACAGTAAAGCTAGTTCCCGGCTACGAGCCCGACACGGAACCCAAAGTAATAGCCAGAGGTCTCCTTACCACGGTTCGGAGCCGCGGACCTGGCCGAGGTAAGAAGAGAGTGCAAACATGTTGAGGCCTGTGTTAGTTCAGTGAGAGATTTATTTGGAAAGAAAACAATTTTCACTTGCAGTCGAAAACTAATGTGTACACTTATGCCTGCATTTTTATTTTGTTAAATACAAACAAAATTGTAGCAAAAGTGCTGCCACGTGTCTGGCCAGAAAGAGCTGTGTATTTGGTAGTTCAATGAAACTACTGTACTATACTGTACTATACTGCTGAGTGACTGTCTTCTGGTCAAATACATTTCATTGCAATGTTGACCCTGCACTAACTTGCGTATGACAAATGAAACTGAAACTGAAAGGCTTCAGATAGTTAAGAGTGAGAAAAAAATTGCATTCATGTTTGCAATTTTGTCTTGTTACACAATATTTGGAATTAAATTAAAAAACAAACAAACCCCACTACGTTTTAAGAAATATTAGTGGGTGTTTTCGTTTTTGTTTTTTTGTACTACTTGGACACTAAAGTGGCCCTCCAATGAGATGACGGTGCCAGAAGTGGCCCGCGGCTCATTTGAGTTTGAGACCCCTGGTATACTGTGTAGACCACTGTACTGATAGTAAAGCTCTTGAATCTTTAATCTTATAAGCATCAGGGTTTCTGGAGCTCTGGCATTAGGCTTTTCACTCTGCCTCACATTTTGACTCCAAACCAACTCTGACATCACTGACTGTGAGGTGGGGGCAATAAATCCAGCTGTGGCTGTCAAGCCTATAGTGTTATTTTACCCTAAAAAACTTTTTTTGCTATTTGACATTGTTCTCAAGCTCTCATTATGTCAAGCTTATCTGAGAAGCTTATCTAGTTTTAGCTATCGTCTTTTTATCTTGGTTCTAAAGTGTAGTTTGTGGTTCTTTGTAAAGCTGTTCTGGTTTTTTATTCTTTGTATATTGTTGTTATTTTAGTTTTTATGTATTTCCCTTTCCATTTCTGCTGACAGTGTCAGCCAGATCATGACTATGAACCCTGTGTGAAGCAGTTGTTTCTCCCGCTCTATAATACACAAATGGTACATTAAGGACAATAACCACCTGGCGAAATTCTATTTTAATTAGACCCTAAATAGAACTTTTTTTTCTCATGCCAAAAGCACCGCTTGATCTCTGATATTCCAAAATAATCCCCCTGTAGTCATTTTTTACTGTTAATGCCATTGTTTTAGTTTTAGCCTTTATCTAAGCTGAAGTCTTTCAATGTCTTGAGGACCATCAAAATGTATATGAATGTGGTTGGTGTGATGGAAAATTTGTCTTTCCAGTCATCTAACCTCTGTCAATTATTGGTATGTAATTTGAACTGTCTTGTACAAAAATGTATTTGCAAAGATGGGAAAACAACTGACTCTAAGTTGTGTTGATGGCCACAGCACAGTTCATGATCAGGCTGGTGCTCACATGATGTTGAGAATTTAACTCCCAACTGCTGAACAGACAAAGATTGTATCCACACAAAGGGTATAAAGGAACTGCTATGATTGTGCTTTTTGCTGAAACCCTACTTGGTTCAAGTATGTGGATGACACCTGGGTGAAAATCAAATCTGGACATATCAAGGGATGAACCAACACATCAAGTTCACCAGAGAGGATAAGAAAAATTACAGGTTAGGCTTCTTAGACTGTGAGACTTTCATCAGTAATGGGGGACAGTTAAAAGTCAATGTGTACCCTAAACCAATACATACGGATCAGTTTTTAAGGTTTGACTCTCAGAGCAAACACCATCACCAGACATACAGTGGCCAGCAGAAGAACGTCATATCATGGAGGCCCTGAGTAAATGTGGTTATCCCAGTGAGACATTTGTCAAAGCTGGGAAGGCACCTAAAGAAAGCTCCAGGCGATCCAGGAGAGAAAGACAACTGCTGTCTAAGCGAAAACCCTTAGTGATCCTTTATGTGTCAGGATTATCGAAACAGTTGAGAAACATTATCTCTAAACACCGCATCTCTGTGGCTTTTAAACCTCAACACAAGCTGTGCCAAAAAGTGGTGCACCCCAAGGTTCGAATCCCCTGACACGAACAGAGTAATACAGTGTACGCTGTCAAGAGCCAAGAGGATCGCCATGATTTATACATTGTGAAAACCAAACAACCGCTGCCTAAGTGGATTGTACAACAGGAGAGATAGACAGTGGACACTCTTTCAATGATGAGGATGTACACATCCTGAACAGGAAGAAAGTGAGGAGTCAAGGAGGCCATATACATGAAAAAGGAAAAGACCTTCTTTGAATTGAGGTGGACAGATCTTGTAATGCTGTGATTGCAACCATTCCCCAACTCTCTGAGAATAGTACTCATGGCCATTGTCACTGATCAGTGATGAATGATCAATATCATTGTCTTTGATCTGTGGTTGTTGGGGCGACTGTGGCTCAGGGGGTTGGGAAGCGTATCTGTAACCGGAAGGTTGCCGGTTCGATCCCTGGGCTCTCTGTCCTGGTCATTGTGTCCTTGGGCAAGACACTTCACCTACCACCTACTGGTGTTGGCCAGAGGGGCCGATGGCGCGATATGGCAGCCTCGCTTCTGTCAGTCTGCCCCAGGGCAGCTGTGGCTACAACCGTAGCTTGCCTCCACCAGTGCGTGAATGCGAGAGTGAATGAATAGTGGCATTGTAAAGCACTTTGGGTGCCTTGAAAAGCGCTATATAAATCCAATCCATTATTATTATTATTATTATTATTATTAATGGTCTATACCATATTGATGATGAAGAAACTGACCTCAAAGCTCATTTTTTGCCAGTGGCGCTAGATTCAGTTATTATGCAAAATGTACTTTTTATAAGAATGGGGAAACGTGCAGTCAGCTGAGACTGAAGAAGTCATTTGGATGAGTGACGAAATGTTTCTCTCACTGAAAATACTACGTCCAGACGAACAGAATCAGCATTTTGGGATTTTCTTACCTGGATGATTGAGCATGCATTAATACATTATTACACAATGTAATAAAATTGTTGTGTAACGCTTCTCAAAGTTTTAGCTATAAAACATCTTGTTTAATTTGCATTTATTTATACCTTATTTTGCTGGAATAGGCAGCCAGTCTGTCTATGATGACATCATACACACTGTGTGAGGAGTTGTCGTTATAGGAGTATAATTATACAAATATTGGTGTCGGGACAACAAACACCTAACAAAACTATGACCACTAAGCCCTAAACAGTCTTTTCAATGGCAAAAATGTATTTTTAAAACACAGCTATTGTTACATTTCTTACATTACATTTTATTATTGTTGTATATAGATAATTATATAAAATGAGTAATAAAAGCTTAAGCCTGCTTATACATCTGTCTTATTTTCATTACTTGTCATTTCCAGTTAATGTTAACATAATTTTGGAAAACCTTTAAATTTGGATAGAAAGTTATTTTTATGGAATGACCTATTTCTGTAGGCCCCTTTAAAAATAAAATACATGGTAATATGGTACTTATGAAACCAGTATAACAGTGGTAAATGATAATAGCAACAGACAGAGAGACAATACTAAAGTTAACATTTGTCCCGATTCGTGATTGAGGTGAGAGACAAACGACCACAAGTCCAAGTGCGTCAAAACAATGATTTTATGTGGAGGAAATACACCATCACAATCCTCAGCATGAATCCCCCAAAGAAAGCTTACTCAGAATGTTTTATGTATTATTATGCCCCTTCATGCGTCAAAGCAGATACATAACATGCATAAACTACAATAACCACAACCTTTGACACATTCAAAAAGAGCATTTTCTCCGTCTTGACGCCAGGTGCTTCCTGTTGATCTTCTTACTCTCGCTTATCTCTGGAACATCAGAACCACATCCTACAAAAAACTGTCACTTATGCAGGCACAAAATGCAGTTACAAGCAAAATATGAGTCTATATACTATGTGTGTGTGTGCAGGCAAACTGTGTGTGTCTCGCACTGAGGTCGAGACACCTCAGTGCACTCTGTCTCATGTCTCACCTCGCCAACTAAAGCTTATAACCTCTTACTAGACAGAAAGCCAACTCCTCTGTAACTGAAACTATATGTGTAATATATTGAATAAATGTTTTAATCAAATGCCGCTACTCAAAGCTTAATAAAAAGGATATAAACGAATAAAAAGGATATGAATGAATAAACATGTTATTAAAATGATATAATCCCCACACATTCTTTAATCACACTGAGCCAAAAGCTGGATAAAGTCTATGTAAAAAGTATTAGTACCTTTAAAAAAGTACTTCATGAAATTTTACTGGCAATTTCCTTCTCGGAAGTGGCATATAATATAAATAATCAAATAAAAATAAGAAATAATAAAATACATTGCCGCAACACTATCATACTTTAATGACATTTTCTATATTTCCTCATTTGTGACAAGGTCAAAATTTTCATTTTCAGATTTCTGAATTTATTGATTTATTGATTTCAATTGTTAGTAGAGTGGATTTCCTTATCTTTTTAAAACATGTTTGCTTCACTAGTGTCATGCTTAAAAATCTGCAGAGTGATAATAAGTTTAACAGCATTTCTAAACCAAGAGTAAAAAAGGGCATACATCAGTGGGTTTAGACACGAGTTAAAGTAAAACACAATGATCAGAAAAAATGTAGATGAGTCATTGATCACATTTACTTCAATAAGAGAGTAACAGTAAAACGGAAGGTAACATGCGAGAAACACAACTACAAGAACTCCAAGGTTCCTGGCTGCTTTCAGTTCAGATTTGTTTGCTTGATTGCTTGAACGCTGAAGTGTGACAGCTGTAACATGAGAGCGCATGGAACGAGCTTGAGACACAGCCACCACAAACACTCTCATATAAAGAACTATGATAACAGATACTGGAAAAATAAAAGATAACACAAGATCAATAAACCGTGCAATATCATTAATGACAAACACACACTCTCCATAACAGGAATTATACCTGGCCGGCTTAATTAGAACATCCTTTGTTAAAAGACTGCCGTAGAAGGTTGAACAAAACCAACACAAACAAACACAGAGTTTGACTCTTGCCACGGTAATTCTGGTGGGGTAATGAAGAGGGTGACAAATAGCTACATAGCGGTCAACTGAAATGAGAACTATGTTCCAAGTTGAAGCACAGAAAAGACCGGCTGTCAGATAAGTATAAACAGAACACATAAGATCACCAAGTACCCAGCAGGCCGTGTTTCTAATTATTTCTAGTGGCAGCATAAGGAGACCAGTGAGAAAGTCTGAGACAGCCAGAGAAAGGAGGAGGATGTTAGTGGGTGTGTGAAGCTGCCTAAGGAGAGAGAAAAAAAGAATATATTACACATTAATAATGTAAAAATGTCTTCACTAATTCCATTGGTTTTTAAGACTTAAACTACAATTTCAGCTGAGAAGTTAATTTCTGCCTGAAGTAAGAGACTGAGATGATGACGAGAAGGTTTAGAGCAGCAGTGAGCAGAGAGATGCAGCACAGCACAGTGTTCAGCAGCACAGCTTTGGACCAGTGAAATGTTGGCTTCCTGCAGGAGCTGTTGAGGAGTTGTGGAAAACAAAGCTCGGCTTCTTTCTGCATCTCCAAAATCATACAGCTGCAGCTCTCTGATCAGAGCTTCTTGTCACATAGGGGATTTATCTCGCCACACCTCCACACCCCCTTCACCTCTCCTTCTTCTCTTCCCTACCAACAGAACCTCATACACAATCAACAGATTGTGGTTCTGTTTTATTGTGTCCTCCAGCAACGTACTGATCACTTTCAGTCGTCAAGAACTGAATGACAGTGGCCTCAGCCTGAACGCACACTTTACAGCATCCCACCCGAGACTGCAAGATGATCAAGCACTCTGTGGGTTATTTTTGGGCACAGGAAGCAATGCAGATGATAAAAGAAACACTGCAAAATCTCCAGTGTTAAATTGACACTAGAAAGTGTCTATAGTTGTCCACTCTTTTGAGTGTTAAATTAACACTTTTGACAGTATTAGATTTCTAATAGTAACCTAGTCAGTATTAAAGATTAACAATGACTAACATTAGCAGTGTGTTTTTTCTAACACTGAAATGTTACCAGCATTTTTAGTTATTTTCCAGTGATAGAAAATCAGCACTACTCAGTGTTAGTCATTGTTAATCTTTAACACTGACTAGGTTACTGTTAGAAATCTAACACTGTCAAAAGCATTAATTTAACACTCAGGAGAGTGGACACATAGACACTTTCTAGTGTCAATTTAACACTGGAGATTTTGCAGTGTGGGCTGCAACCAACTCTCTCTTATCCATGTGCATATGCTGACCATCAACATAAACCTGACCAGCAACGGGCTTTAAAGAAGCTTTACTGAAGCCTTTGACAAAGCAAGGGCAGCTGTCGAGCAGGACCACTATGACAGTGTGATTGAGGTTCAGGGCTTTAGCAGCAAGGACCTGTTTAGTGAGGAGTTGTAATACTGTAGTGGCAAAGATGAACAGCTGGAGGCAAGAGACGAGGCAGGATGCTATGGTGTGGAGTCCAGAGCAGTTGTTGGGGGAGGATGAAGTGTGAAATCAGGTTCATTTGCCTGGGATTCTTGAAGGCTACTGATCTAATCCACCCATTCACAGCCTCACTGTGGTCCAGATACATGTCAGTAAGAATCTCATGGAAATAAAGAATTATTTCTCAAAGAGCTTATACTCCTCTTCCAGGCTGACATCGTTATGTGGTTGTGGGGCAGTTGTCACCACCCATCTTGAGGAGTTTGCCCCCTCACATATACTAATGTGCCACAAACATGACTTTAATATCACCAATCATTCCCATTTTATTACGGTGTATCCATATAAATGGCCCACCCTGTACTATGACCACAGAATATGTAGATGAATGTGGCGGTCTGTGGCTTGGTGAGGCAGACACACCTGAGTGGCATGAGTAAACATGCCACACCTGTACTAAAAGAATGAACTAGGTCCTCACTGTTGTTGTTATTAGCGTCTGTGGCTGTGAGCTGCAAAGCTGCAACCAGTGTGTAAACAGTAACAATAAGAAATAAAGTTTGTGAAAAGCGTAAAAGTGGGTGTGATTCCTGTCACAATGAATTACTGTCTACATATTCTACAACAAATGCAGTATCTGTAAAGTGACAATTAGTTTCAAAGCTTTTATGAAAAAAAGGATAGAACAAGGCATAGATCACTGGGTTTAAACAGGAGTTTGAAAAGAACAGACTGATCACAATGAGCGCTGTGATGTTTACAGAGATTTTATTTTGAAAGGTCGAATGTTAGGCGGAAGGAGAGGATAGAAAAGAGGGACAATGAAAAACGGTAGATGAACAAGTTAGCGCTGCAGACTGTGTTGCCGCTGCAAGCCTGCGAATTAAAGAATGGAACTGAGAAATACTGAAGGTGTCATCATTAATGTTTGAGGCATGCAAACATTAACATTTTGATAACCAAGATGGCGCCGCGTATGGATGCCCTGGTGCTTCAGTGCGTTACTTTTGTCTTGTTTTTGTGCATTTCTTCTGTGTCTGGGAACTCCTCTGGATATTCTTACACCAGAGAAGAGCTCCTTAACTGCAGGACTACAACGCCTGTGGATTTATTTCCAATATTTGTCGCATCTGCGGCAGATTTACTGCTGACTCTGATCAGGAAAGTGAGACGTCGAAAGAGAGGTAAGCGAGCCGGCGTACTCGTGCGTTTGAGGAAACGCGGACTGAGAACGGCCCTTCCTGGGATCTTCCTCTCTAATGTACGCTCACTCTGGAATAAGATAGACGAACTGGCCCTGATGAGAAGCATGAACAGAGACTTTGCCTCCTCCTGTGTCTTATGTTTTACGGAGTCGTGGCTCAGTGAGGACATCCCGGACTGCGCGCTCAAGCTGGAGGGCTTTCATCTGCTGCGCGCGGACCGGCAGGCCGCTCTCTCCGGTAAAACCAAAGGTGGAGGCGTCTGCTTCTACATCAATAGTGGCTGGTGCACAGATGTAACAGTGATTGCTCAGCACTGCTCTCCCTCTCTGGAATATCTTTTCATTCACTGCAAACCGTTTTATTCTCCGCGGGAGTTTGCTTCATTCATCCTGGCCGCTGTTTACATCCCGCCAGACGCGGATGCGCGAGCAGCTCAGTGCGCACTCGCAGAGCAGATTCTCCACACGGAGCGGACATACCCGGACTCTCTCATCATTGCTCTTGGGGACTTTAACAAAGCCAATCTGAGCCATGAGCTTCCGAAATACAAACAGTATATTAAATGCCCGACCAGAGAGGAGAGGACATTGGATCACTGCTACAGCACGATCAGCGGGGCCTATCGCGCGGTGCCGCGCGCTTCACTCGGACTTTCTGATCACGTCATGATCCACCTAATCCCCGCGTACAGACAGAAGCTGAAGCTCTCCAAACCTGTCGTGAGGACCAAAAAACTGTGGAGCAACGAGGCTGTGGAGGAGCTTCGCACGTGTTTGGAGACCACAGACTGGGACACTTTGAAGGCTGCTTCTAACAGCTTGGACGAGTTTACGGACACTGTCACCTCCTATATCCACTTCTGTGAGGACAGCATTGTGCCATCACGCACCAGGGTGAGTTATAACAATGACAAACCCTGGTTTACCCCTAAACTCAAAAAGCTGTGGCTGGAAAAGAGTAAGGCGTTCAGAAGCGGAGACAGGGACTGCTACAGAGAGGCCAAGTACAAGTTCACTAAGGAAGTGGACATTGCCAAACATCAGCACTCTGAGAAGATGCAGCAGCAGATATCAGAGAATGACTCGGCCTCTGTGTGGAAAGGTTTTAGGAATATTACAAACTACAAGCCTAAAACCCCCCACTCCACTGACGACTTGCTCTTGGCCAACACCCTTAACGACTTCTACTGTCGTTTTGACGAGCCATCAGGCAGCCTTCACACCTCCAACGACCCCAACAATAGAGGCACTTTGGACACTCATTCCCCCACCTCTCCCCCTCCATAGAGCCATCACCACCTTCAAACTGTTCACCTACAACACCCGCCCCCTCACCCCACACAAAAGAGGATTTCACACCACCTCCTCCGACCACAACTCTTCATATTCATGAAGCAGATGTGAGGAAGCAGTTTAAGAATCTGAATGCTCGGAAAGCTCCCGGCCCAGACGGTGTGTCTCCTGCCACCCTCAGACACTGTGCAAACGAGCTGGCCCCAGTGTTTTCTGGCATCTTCAACTCCTCACTGCAGGCATGTCATGTGCCTGCCTGCTTCAAGTCCTCTACCATAATCCCTGTCCCCAAGAAACCTAGGATCACTGGACTAAATGACTACAGACCCGTGGCTCTGACATCTGTGGTCATGAAGTCATTTGAGCGCCTAGTTCTCTCCCATCTCAAGACCCTCACGGCCCCCCTCCTGGACCCCCTGCAGTTTGCATATAGAGCCAACAGGTCTGTAGACGACGCCATCAACATGGCCCTACACTTCATCCTGCAGCATCTGGACTCCCCAGGAACCTACGCCAGGATCCTGTTTGTGGACTTCAGCTCTGCCTTCAACACCATCCTTCCAGACCATCTCCGAGACAAGCTTTCCCAGATGAATGTGCCTGATCCCATCTGCCGGTGGATCACTGACTTCCTGACGGACAGGAAGCAGCACGTGAGGCTGGGGAAGAATGTCTCGGACTCCCGGACCATCAGCACCGGCTCCCCTCAGGGCTGTGTTCTTTCTCCTCTGCTCTTCTCCCTGTACACCAACTGCTGCACCTCCACCCACCAGTCTGTCAAGCTAATCAAGTTTGCAGATGACACCACCGTTATTGGACTCATCTCGGACGGGGACGAGTCTGCCTACAGGAGAGAGGTTGAACGTCTGGTGTCCTGGTGCAGCCACAACAACCTGGTGCTGAATGCCCAGAAGACAGTGGAGATTATTGTGGACTTCAGGAAGCACACAGCCCCACTCCCCCCCATCATCCTGACTGACACCCCCATCACCTCTGTGGACTCATTCCGCTTCCTGGGTACCACCATCACCCAGGACCTGAAGTGGGAGCCCACCATCACCTCCGTCATCAAGAAAGCCCAGCAGAGGATGTACTTCCTGAGGCAGCTGAAGAAATTCAACCTGCCAACACGGACGATGATGCAGTTCTACACTGCAATCATCGAGTCCATCCTCACCTCCTCCATCACCGTGTGGTACGCTGGAGCCACTGTCAGGGACAAACAGAGACTGCAGCGTGTTGTGCGCTCTGCTGAGAAGGTGATTGGCTGCAGACTCCCATCTCTGCAGGACCTGTACACCTCCAGGACATTGCGGCGTGCAGCCCGGATCTCAGCTGACCCTTCCCACCCTGGACACAGTCTGTTTGACCTGCTCCCCTCAGGCAGGAGGCTCCGGTCCATTCGCACCAGAACCTCTCGCCACAAGAACAGTTTCTTCCCCTCTGCTGTTGGACACATGAACAATAACCACATGACTGTCCCGCCACTCACACATGACCCTACGCTGTGTCACTGCATCATTTCATGTCTGGCACTGATCACCACCTGCACTCATGTATATATCCTTCTACGTAGCACTCTTAATTCTTATTCTCAT